TAAATTCGTTAACGTGGTTGTAGGAGGGGGTGTTAAATGAGTGAACACGTACACACGTATGCGAAAGGGCGGCGCTGGTCGAAGGGACGTCGATCATTGTGTTTGTGGATTCGTTGGAATTCATTTCACCGCGACCTTGGACGTCGACGCGCCGTACAAACCAACCGACGAGCGGCAACTGAGCGAGCGAGCGCCGACCTTGAGTATATCTACAGCGCGACGGCGCCATGCACTGTCAGCTGTCGAATGTTCGAGAAGGGGGAGAAGTGCAACGGCGCATGCGCGCGCGTCAGCTGCCGATGTTCTCGAAGCGCGACGGCGCATGCGCGCGCGTCAGCTGCGATTTGTTCCCGAAGCGTGACGGCGCATGCGCGCTACATTATACAGCTAGCGAATGTTCGTGAAGAGGAGAAGCGCACGCGGTGTGTAGAGGAGGAAGGGTGCACAGATGGTGGAGTAGAGAAGCGCGCGCGGTGTGTAGAGGAGGAAGGGATGCACAGATGGTGGAAGAAGGAGGAGGAAGCTTGCGGACGGCGCCGCACTACAAGCCTCGAGTATTAGATGCTCCGCATCTAAAACAGCGATATGGTTCATGCGCAGTCGCACTACCGCGTGAAGTACGGCTTCAGGTGCACCACGTGGACAATCTCTGAGGAGTGCCTTCGCCGTCGTGGTGAGAAGGCGCCGTCAGGGACTAGCTCATAGTTCACATCGCTCACGCGTCGCAAGACTTTGTATGGTCCGAAGTAGCGACTTAGCAGTTTTTCTGACAATCCCTTGCATCGAACTGGAGTCCACACCCAAACTTGATCGCCTGGATGGTATTGAACTTGTCGATGGCGATCGTTGTAGCGGCATGCGTCTGTACTCTGCTGGTGCGTTATGTGTAGGCGTGCTAACTGGCGTGCTTCTTCGGCGTACTGGGTAAGCTGCACAGCATCAGGAGTGATCGAAGCATCGCTATTGTGTGGAAGCATGGCATCCGGCATGGTCTGGACCTCACGTCCATAGACAAGACGGAAAGGCGTGAATCGAGTAGTTTCCTGGACGGCAGTATTGTACGCGAATGTGACGTATGGTAGCACCTGGTCCCAGGTCTTATGCTGGTCATCTACGTACATAGATAACATGTCAGCGATGGTCTTGTTGAGTCGCTCTGTCAAGCCGTTGCTCTGTGGATGATATGCCGTGGTCTTGCGATGGCTCGTGTAGCTGAGCTTGAATAAGCCTTGAATGAGCTGGGCCGTGAATGCTGTTCCTCTGTTTGTGATTACGTACGACGGGGCGCCATGGCGAAGAACGATCTGGTCTATAAAGCATTGGGCGACGTCGGAAGCAGTAGCGCGTTGTAGTGCCTTTGTTTCGGCGTACTTCGTCAAATAGTCGGTGGCTACTACGATCCATTTGTTGCCGGCAGATGATAGCGGAAAGGGCCCCAGTAAATCCATTCCTATTTGATCAAATGGCACTCTGGGTGGTTCTATTGGTCGAAGAAGCCCCGTGGGCTTTAGTGGCGGGGATTTGCGGCGTTGACATTCCCGGCAGCTTTTCACGTATCGCTTAACTGATGCAGAAAGCTTAGGCCAGTAGTATGCTTGTCGAACTCGAGCGAGAGTTCGAGAGAAACCTAAGTGACCAGATGTGGGCTCGTTGTGGCAGGCAAGAAGAATGTCGTCACGCATGTCTGTTGGCACGACTAGAAGATAGGTTCTCTCATTGCCGTTGGAGTTTTTCTTATACAGGACCCCATCTCGCAGACAGAATGACGACAGACTCTGAGAAATACATTGAGGTATGGACGAGTTGCGTCCTTCAAGGTTTCAATAACTGCGCGAATTTCATCATCCGCACGCTGTCGCGTAATCAGATCTGTTGTAGTAAGGGCCCCAAGGAAACCATCGTCATCCTCGCTGTCGTGGCCACAAACTTCGACAGGTGCACGGGATAATGAATCAGCCTCTTCGTGCTCGCGGCCCGATTTGTAAGTGATCGTGAAATCGCATTCCTGCAGACGAAGACTCCATCATGCCAGTCGCCCACACGGGTCCCGTAGTTGGTAAGCCAACCTACGGGTCCCGTAGGTTGGCTAACCAGGACAACAAATGATGGTCGGTCACTACCTTGAAGTGGCGTCCGTAAAGGTAAGACCTAAATTTCATAGTGGCCCATACAACAGCGAGGCACTCTTTCTCTGCCGTGGAGTAGATGACCTCGGCGCGGGAAAGAGTGCGGCTAACGTACGCTATCACTCGCTCTGTGCCCTCTTGTTGTTGTACGAGGACAGCACCAAGACCCACGGTGCTGGCGTCAGTATGAGTTTCAGTATTAGCGTCTTGGTCAAAGTGAGCGAGGACCGGTGGTGTCTGCAAACGCTCCTGTAGTTCAGAGAAAGCTGCGTCCTGTTCTTCCTCCCAGACGAATGGAAGATCTTCATGAGTGAGTCGAGTGAGTGGTTCAGCAAACCTAGAAAAATTGGCTATAAAGCGGCGGTAGTATGCGCAGAGCCCCAGAAAGCGACGCACTGCTTTCTTATAACGTGAAACAGGAAACGAGGCCACGGCAGTACTTTTGTCAGGGTCTGGTCGAATACCATCCGCACTGACAACATGGCCGAGAAACTTAAGTTCCTTGTAACCGAAATGGCATTTTTCTGGCTCCAGTGTTAGGTTAGCAGAGCGGAGCGCTTCTAGCACATTTTGCAGACGCTTCAAGTGCTCCTCAAAGGTGGCAGAAAACACGACAACATCATCGAGGTAAACTAAGCACGTGTGCCACTTCAGACCGGTAAGAACAGTGTCCATCATTCTCTGGAATGTCGAAGGTGCAGAACAGATGACGAAGGGAAGCACTTTGAATTCATATAGGCCATCCGGTCTAACGAAGGAGGTTTTTTTCACGATCTCGTTCATCAACTTCGATCTGCCAGTAGCAACTTTTCAAGTCTATCAATGAAAAATACTTGGCCCGCCGCAGTCTGTCGAGGGAATCGTCGATGCGAGGCAGCGGATAGACGTCTTTTTAGTCACGCTGTTAAGTTTCCTGTAGTCCACGCAGAAGCGCAGTGATCCATCTTTTTTCTTCACAAGCACAACCGGAGAGGACCAGGCACTTTTCGAAAGTTGGATAACGTCATCTTGCAACATCTCTTCGACTTGAGAATTTATAACGTCACGTTCCTTTGCCGGAACGCAGTAAGGGTGTTGTTTTATGGGCGAAGCGTCGGTATACGTAATTATTCGATGTTTGGCGATCGGTGTCTGACGAACCTTCGAGGTGGACGCGAAGCACTCTTTAAATTGATATAGCAATTCACGTAGCTCGGTCTGTTGCTGTTCCGAGAGGGTCAAGTAGACATCGACTTTTCCAAGTAGTGAAGTGACGTCGCTTGGTGTCGGTCGAAGCCCGTCGTTGGCTGATGTGGATGCGAAGCATTCAGAAACGTCTGCGACAGGGTAGGCGAAAGCGATGGCGGTGTCACGAAACAGGTGCCGGTACTCGTTACTGAAATTAGTCACAAGTAGGGCAGAGTGTCCGTCATAAAGCGTGACGAGGCTGCGTGCAGCGCCGATACCTAGCGCGAACAAAAGCGTCAAGTTGCCTTCGGCGACAACCTCACCTTCCCGTAACTTGTCAGACACCACATCGAATGCACCACCGATCGAATGAGATCGCAAAGAGACTCAATGTTAATGTTGCCTGCCGCACCTCCGATCTGACCTATTCACGAAGCGGTACTCACTTGCCGGTCGTACACAGTAGAGCGCTGCTGCAGCACTTGCTCCATGGTTGTGGCTTCGGTGAAAAATTCCGCAACGGTCTTTGGCGGACAGCGAACGAGGCCAGCGAAAAGCTGCTCCTTCCCTCCTCGCATTAAATGACGGACCTTCTTTTCTTCTGCCATGTCGGGGTCAGCTCGACGAAAGAGGCTCGTCATGTCCTCGACGTACATCATGACGCTTTCATTCGGCATTTGGAGGCACGACTGAATCGCTCGCTCGGCTAGTTCGCGGCGATCGGGATGGGCCCAACTTGCCAGCAGGTATCGACGAGGAAAAAGGCTCACTGTTTTCGTACCAAGTACCAGCGCCGTCCTTCAAGCTGAAATACACGTTCCTCATTTTGTCGAAGTCGGTCCAACCATTGTAATCCGAAACCCGTTCGAACTGGGCCAGCCAGTCTTCGACATCCTCCAAGACGTAACCGTGGAACACCTTCGGCACACGTGGCTTTCACAGCGTATGATGCGTGATCGCTCCGCTTTCCTGTGCGTTGGAGGCTGCAGTGCCTTCCATAGCGTTCGGGGGTGTGACAGACGTCATCTCAGGAAGAGGTCCACGCTCAGGAGGTAGTCCTCGGAGTCTTCGGCTTCAGCGGTGGAGAGGTGTTGTCACTGCAGGTACAGGGCTACCTGGAGGCGTTTGGAACATCGGCTGGGGGTTACCCAGCACCTCTACCAGTTGTCACGTGCTACAAAATGTCTTCAACTAGGAAGAACTGAGCCGGTGGGGAGACACACCAAAAACTGGCAAGATGGCTGCTTCAATAATAAACAACTGGCCAGAGCACGCGCTGCCCCAGAACATCGTCTTCCGTTCTCGCGGGCAGCCATGGCTTGCGCTCGCCGTAACTAGCAGCCAAGTGGCAATATTCTCCACGAAGCTGTACCCAAAGACTCTTGCCTAGTGTGTGCGCTGAAAAGTGTGAAGGTCCATTGAATTTAACGTAACCCACTCACAAGGTAGCTTGCGTCGGCGTTCACTGAAGCAGTCAACCACAGAACACCAGAAAAAATGCGAGACATATCATTTTGAAAGACGTATATGTGCATTTTTAAATATGTTGACATTTATTTTGCATGCTTATCTAACGCAGCACTTACGCACGGGAAAACGCTTAAGCGCCCACAATATCCTGACGGGGATTCAGAGTTGTCGCTGTTATCTGGTCAATGGCGGTAAAACTCTTCTAACCGACTGAAAAATAAAGTGGCCTTCACTTACCCGGTACAACTGTCGATACCGTTTCCTTGCTGCACGGTGCCAGGGGCTCTCCGTCGTCGATGGCCAGTTGTCAATGTTCCGGTTGATTGTGGAGATCTGTCAATTTCATGGAGAAAAACATATAAGATTTTGGAATAATATCACAACTTTATGCATTTTCAAAGTCTTGGTTAAATAAGAGTAAAGCCTTCTTTTTATATATATATTTTAAAGAAATAATATCAATCACACAACATTTCAGTACTCTTCATGACACAACATCTGAAGGGACTTGCCTGAAAACGTGGCAAGCTTCAGATAGAGAATCTCGATACGCGCATAAAGATTTCTATAAAAAAGCTGTTTCGATAACTGTGCTCTTGAGTGATTCCACGTAGGATTGAACAAATCATGGCTGGTCGATCTCCTAAATTTCTCCTAAATTTGTATACATTTTTGCTTGATAAGTGTGAAGTATAGATGCGCAATTGGTTTTTATGTAAAAAAGTTTTTCGAAGCGGAGTAAATTAATAATAAAGGCCATGCCTACCTGCTGTGCTTTTTGGGTAGTTGAAAGATGAATTAAACAAAATATAATAAAGCTACGTACGTAAATTTTTTAGCTAAGTAAAGTCATATTTTTGCTTACGTAAAATATATTTCGCTTCTCTGGGTAATGTATATTTTTAATAAAAATATCAAATTTGACATAAAAGGGTAACTGCCTGGTTTACAGGCCTTTATTTCAAATTGGGTCAATGACAGAGCAGTTAAAATTGCGCATTACCTCCTCAGCATGCGTATTTCCGAAACTGCGAATGCTTACATTATTAACAATTTTTAATAAAACGATATAATCGCGCAAACTTCAAGAACAGAGCATGCAAGGGAAACTTCTCACGATTAAAAAACCCATCTTCAATATTGCTGCGAACGTTTCCCACCTATTCTCCTGCACATCAGTTTTTACAATCAATAAAGCCATGTTGCATATTGTGGTCTTACCTGCAGTTATGGCCCTTCAATCAATGCCCTTGTGCAAGTATAGGCAATTGTAGATTGCACCTGCTACCCGCTATTTATGGAATGCAGGCCCATAGTTCGGTTTCTTACAAGACTAGCAGCACTGAAATAATGGTCAACTGCACTAAAGACGCCAATTTTTGGAATATTTGGCCACTGGAGTGGCGATTGGTGGGGCATTACCATGCAAGCAAGCGCGCGCAGTCCATATCCCCGTGTTAAGAAGGCTCGTCGAATAATGCTCTTGCGCAAGACTGAGCACAACATGTGGGTCTGAAGATTGTATGAAATTCGTGATCATGTACGGCTTTTCAATTTGGCATGATATTGTATTGAGTAATTCTGTCTTGCAGCTGCAAACTATCAGTGAGAAACACGACAGTTATAGATCAGAAATCAGCGTCGAGCGCACTGAAGCACTATGGCGTCAAGCTATGATGAGGGCACGATGGGCCCAGAAGTGCCATGGCACTGACTGCAGCCATGTTTTCCATTGTGCAGGGTGCTCTTGAATTCGCCATGGTATCAATCCCTGCTCAGGAACCACACGCCGACCATCACGTTTGCGGCGTACGCATGTGTGCAATCGGCGGCTATATGGCGATTCTTACCTCAACATTATCTCCAGACACTATCCTGCTCCCAACGAACCCTTTCAAGTGAAATTCCATGAATTAATCGGTGGACGAACATGTAAAAGAGGCACCGCAAATATTGGCCTTCTCTGGGCACGGTAGACCCAAGACTACTGGGGTACTGAGTAGAGCCGTCTTTTTTATTGTGCAAATTGGTGCGAATACAAGTTCCTCGCGCAGTGATTATCATGGAGTGGTGGTCCTTCAGTGCCTATGGCGATGTCTAGCTGTCACTCATGAGTGTCTATTTGTGTGGAAACTTCTGGTTTGTGGTGACGTTGAAATTATTCCTGGTCTTACTCAGACCGAAATGCTTTAGCAGTTAGTTGATGAGGAGGCTACACTTTGTAATTCAATACAGGATCTCCAACCGCATTTTTTGAAAACGGAAAAACCAGTTCTAGAGCTTCACGGTGTGTTTCACAAAATGTAGACCCAGATACTGAAGCAAGTGGTACTTCGGCATGAAGAATGAGTAGTTTACAATTCATTGAAAGTATTAAAACATTGCAGACTACGAAGCCGACAGATCTCGAGGATCGTAGCCAGCGGTCGAACATAATAATCAACCGGTTACCCGATATTTCAAACGAGACAGAAGATAACCTCATAGATAAAGTAGTTAAGGCTGTATTAAATAAAAAGGGAATGTTATGTTAATATATTCATAGGCTAAGCAGACAAGGTGGCAGGTGACCAATAACATATCTTCAGAATTTCACTGAAAAGAACGAAATAGTCTAGAATGTTGAACATTTTGAAGGGAACTAGCATTTAATTCGGAATGACTATTCGCAGTCCACATTAAAGAAGCACAAACTTCCGTGGGAAAGTGCAAGAAATTATAAGCTTGAAAGAAAGAAGGTGTTGCTTATACACTGCAAGTTCAAGGGAGACAAACTTATATATTTGGGACCATTCACAGAATAAACGCCTACAGGTGGCAAAAGGCCACCCTCGGCAAACAGAAGCAGGATCTACCGTACATCACCGAAATAAATATCTGCGAATGAATGATGTCAACGCTAGAATTATCCTAAATGAAACAACTTTGCTTGATATTTTTCTTCTTCGATTTGCCCCCCCACCCCCCATTACAGGTATTACTGGCTTCGGGAGGAAATTATTGACCAATATATATTTCTCTCTTTCTGCGTTGGTTATGGAGTTGATGGGCATTCCAGGGAAGGAGGTGTGGCAGTCTTAGTTAAAAATCAGGTTCAAGCACTCGTTCTAGAAATAAAACCCACGTTAAATGCCTGTGCGTTAGAGTATAACTTTGGGGCTATAGTCTCGTACTTTTCTCAGTTTATAGGCCTCTTGACACCGCCCCTTAATGTTAGCATGAATTCGCTGAGTATGAATAGATACTGGAGTAGCAAGGTTATTCTGGTAGTTCATTTATTCCGCCTGGTATAGACTGGTTTCGCCTTGACTCTGGGCTTAATCACAATAGGACTGTTAACATACTTTTGATAACATATCACGCATGATGTTATGCAAGCTGCACATAAGCCTTCACGTGTGCAAGGTTTTTCGCCATCAGTTTCGGATCTGGTACTTTTTGCTCACAAACATATTGAATTCATGGTAGTTGTCGAGCATGGGCTAGCATGTAGAATTTGATACTTAGAAAGCTGCTTAACTGATTTCGAGGAGAACAATTAGAACATATTTTGAACTTGTTTCAAAGTTATGTGTAATGTTTCTCTAGACAAATTCATACGAAATAAGAAAAGACCACATAAGCAAACACTGTTGGTTAATCGTAACATTCTTATGGAGCGCAAAATTAAGCGATTGAAGAAGGCACATGCGAAGTCATATTTGATATCCAAACTGCAAGGTGAACTTGCACTTAGGGTGCGTAGTTTGAAGGAGTGTTACTTCACCACGTTTTGGCTCAATTCTATTACAAATGATCCAAGAAAGTTTGAAGAAACATTGCCGAGAAAAAAAGACCAATATTACAAAACACAGTGAATGAACAGATGGGTGCTGAGAAGCTACAACTTGTAAATTATTGCAATACCTTTTTACAATGTTTTTTTATTCTAATTCTAATGGTCGAAATTTTCGCAGCCCTCCACTACGGTGTCTATAGTAATCATATGGTGGTTTTAGGGCATTCAACCCCACAAATCATCTTCCTACTTTTTCTAATTCTGGTGATTGTGCAAACAACTGTACAGTGACGCGACTTTCTGATCTAAATTTTACATCGTAGCCGGGTGTATGCACTATGCTAATTAACCTAAACACCTAAATTCTCCAGCACACCCCAAGACTGCTTGTTAGTTTCTTCGTAGATATGCGGTAACTTAATTAAAACTTCTTGTTGTAATGTTTTGTACGTTCCTGTTGTAGTAAGAATAATCGAGTGGCTGGAGGGCAGCCCGCATTGCACCATTTCATAGAAAGGGAGACCATCTTCTCATAGAAAAAACTGTCCTATTTTTTAACGTCATCATACTGCAAAGTTATCGAACATATTATCGCAAACATCATAAATACATATTTAGATAAACATTTTGTTTTTTTAGATAAGCTTGGGTTTAGGAGAGGGCATTTGTCTGTCACACAGTTGATAGTTGCGTGCTTTAGAAGTTAATTCTTTCATTTAAAAAATTAGTTTACATAGTAGTTAAAATAATATTTCTAAATGGCGCACGTACTGGGCAAAGACACTAAACACAGACAAAAGCGTACTAATGCGAAAGGCACACAACAAATCAACTTTGCTTCATACGTAGAAACCAGATTAATCTCCTCTGCATAAAGTAACCCAATACACGTATCTAGGAGTAACAATTAGCAACACGCTAACATATAAAGACTACTTAAGAAATACTTGCACCTCATCCTTCAAAAAATTACGCCTCCTGAGACACAAACATAAAAAGCACCCTATGATGTAAAACTGCTATACTATGACACCTTCATCAGAACTACACTAAAACAGGCATGTAGAGTTTGGGACCAGAATACTGATCCTAATATCACTTGCCTAGAGAGAGTGCAGTGAAAGACAGTAAGGTTTATATTTTACAAAATCTCAAGGCGAGATTCACCCACAGAATTCACGAGAGCTAACCATATCGAACCACTCGAGATGAGATGACAGAAGCCGAGACTGAAATTTCTTAAATTACTTTACACGAACAAATCACCACTAGACTCATCCCTATATCTAACGCCCCTATTACCCAAACCATGAGTCACCACAGACAACATGCATTAACACCCTACTTCATGAGAACAAACTTGTTCAAGAATTCTCTTTTTTTCTTCGTACAATAACCGAATGGTATAGTGTAATCGAAGCGACAGCATAATGCTGATCATTGAAAATTTGTTTGTATAGCATTTGACCAAACATATTCACTCTACTTCCGTATTTTTGTTCATGTTTCGTTTGTTCTATTTTTCAACATGTTCACTGATGTACGTTCGATTGCC